GCTTCTTCAACATTTCAGTAATCTGGGCGTTTTATGCCAAGGACGATGCGCATATTCCTCAGGCACTGTCCCTCCCACAATTAATTTAGCAAGGATGTTGTTAATTATTGGGTCCCTTTCTCTGGGGTTCAGTAACAAGGAGCTAGGAATGATCTCTCTAGATCATCAGTATTACGGTCATTCCAATGGCTGCATGATGGCTGAGCACTCGGCTTAAAGCACTGAAAACAAGAATAAAATTTTGAATTTCTCGACTTTGGTTGATAAATATTTTCTTTGTAATTGCTTAGTATATGATTGATGAATATATGTATGAATTTTAAGCCACTCTTTTTAGACTGAGTATTGTTAGAATGTGAATGCAGTGTCCTTGCTTCACTCACCTGTGGCTATTTCATTTCCTGTTTTTCCACTTATGCCTATGGAGATTGCAGACTCTGAAAGAGAGGAAACACAGGATAGATTTAATTAGGAAATATTCAAGGACTGCGAAAAGAACACGATAGTACTTATGGAAAGAATAATATTGGAGGAGATGTCTAATGCTGGAAGTTTTCTTGAAGAGTTCCTTACCAATCTGTTGACTCACCTGTATTGGAGCTTCCATGGGCAACAGTTGTGACTTGAGCCACTCCAGTGGAGGCTGAAACTCAAAAAGAATTGTGATCACTATGGTGCTCATGTTTCTTTCCTAAAGACCTGACATTACAAAGAACATAAATGTATCTTCTTCATATCTAACTGGCTCTTTCTCCGGCTGTTCTTTGGTGATGAGCTGTAGGTATTTTTTCATTAACCATTTCATTACTAAGCAAAAAAAGGGACAATGTTTTTGACTTGAGACCAGCTTCCTGGCAGTCTATACCACAGAGACAGGATAGTTTTCTCCCATGGTCACCTGTTTTACCTCCAGTAACTTGGTTCTCTGATGCTGCAGTGGTACGTCTTGTGGAATGGAAACAGAAAAAGGCATGAGTATTTGAGAACTTATATATTGGGAAAATACTGATCTTCTTCAAGTTGTGTGTGTGTGTGTGTGTGTGAGAGTGAGTGAGAGAGAGAGAGAGAAAGAGAGAGAGAGAGCACATTTGAAAAGAAAAGTCTATATAGGACATACTTGTTTCCAGGATTCTTGCAGCTCTTCGCTATTTCTCAGGGATAGGAAGTTTTCTTGCCCTCCTTTCTGTATAAGCTTTGGTGTTTGTAATTTCGCATGAGAAATTACTCAGAACAATTAGTGCAACCATCCTATCCTCAGGGACAACATGTCAAGAATTAATCCATATGTTTCCTCTGTAATAGTTCTTTCTCACAGCAAATTTCTTGAAAAAAATTTTAACACTTGACTTCCTTTATTTGCGTGTCTGGGGTTCCGTGACAGGAAATAAACGTTTTCTCTGTACACACGTATCTACTAGTAACTTTAGTCTTGGGACCTTTAACAGGGCCCCTTGAAGTAGAAGAAATCTTGTCATTTGCTATCTAGTAGCTATTTTTAAATTAATAATGCTTAATTGATGGGCATTAAACAGTTGTTAATTGGGAAATGAAAGAAAATATAGTTAATGGCCTAAGAGTGCTCACCTGAAGGCTATTATACCTCCACTTCCTCCTAGGGAAGTTGTAACCTCTCAGTCAGAGGAAAAGAAGAATGACATGACTGGAAAAACTTTAAGAATTTTGGAATTATTATAGAGAAAATCTTCTCAAGAAATAAAAGCCAAGAAAACATTTTCTTAAAAGAAGTACCCGCGGGAAAACTCTCAGCTTATTGTCTCACCTGTGTTAGAGCTTCCAGGGGCCAGAGTAGTGCCAGGGGCTACTCCAGTGGTACCTGAAAACACAACAGGTCCTGAATTCACCACGGTGACACATTCTGGCATCAGATAACCTGAATCTGGAAGCAATCTGAATGTTCCTTTACTATAACAGAAGGCCCCTTTTTTGGGCCTTTGGCAGATGCATAATTCTATGAGTTTTCCCCCTTTGACTATTTCATTCCAAAAGCACATGGAGTGGCAATGTTCTCTCTTGAGACATCTTTTCCTGGCAATCCCTAACAGTAACCCCAAAGGAAAGAAATGTAGCACTCTCCTTGTCCTTCCTTTACCTTCATCCTTATCCATGGAGCAAAACCAAGGGAGGAACTTATGAGAATATGAAAGCCAACATTTGCCAATGCTCACCTGTTTTTAGTTCAACTCCTGTGGTTGCACTGCTTCCTGTAAAAATTGTGGCCTCTGACAGAGAAAGGGAGAAAAGTGGTGTGTTTATGGGATTTGAAAATATTTTGAAAAAGACATATCAGTGCAAGTACATGCACCCCTAGAGGAAATAATTTATCACCAGAGGTGCTTATAAAAAGAAATTTTTCCTGCTAAGGGAGAAGTCTCAACATGATATGCTTCTCCAGTCAGCATTATGGAAGACACAGCTATAGTAGTCAGTAGGTTTGTCTCAAGTTTCCTCCCTAGGAAGAAGTTAATCTTGTCCCATGTGTCATTCCACACCTCAGTCAAATGCCGTAGCAAATTTCTGTCCCACAGGGGTGCTTCTCTAAGTGTTCATTAAGAAAAAGGAAAAGTCTAAATATGGCTTTGAAGTGTCTACCAGGGCTTTAGTCAAATAAACAGATAAAACATGTTCATTTTCCCAGGATCCATTTAGTCCCTAGAGAAATGCAAAAGCAGACTTCTGAACCCTGGGGACAACATTCTCTAGGAGTCAATAAAAATATGTACCTGTTTTGCTGCCAGTGACCTGCCTCCCAGGTTCTCCACTTGTGGTTCCTGAGAGGAAGAAAACGGGGGAAGGCTCAAACCCTTTAGACTGCCAATACTCCCTGCTTCACCACTGCTCTATTGCCAGAGCAGCCCTCATCTCTAAACTCTTAGCACTGGACATTTTCTTTGTTGTTGTTTTTACTTCATCTACCACTTCCAGGCCTCTGCCCTTTTGCCTCTTACTCAGCATATATGCTGCTTTTATATTAATTATGAGAAAGGGTCCCTTTGGGACAATGACTTATAAAAAGATAACACTGAAAAGATTAGAAGGAACAGGTAGTCAGAACTTTGCTGTTCAAAAATAATACCAGCAGTAAAAGCCTCATTCTCCGTATTTCTTTCTTAGGAAGAGATCAATGATATTTGTGTTCTGGTCTACCATTGAGCCACCATCGTCATACCTAGCAGCAATTGCCTCAGTGGATATGGGTATTCTAAGGTTCACTTGTTTTGCTTCCAGTGACCTTTTCAGCGATGAACCCCAAAAAGTAGTGAAATAGGAAATCTCTTGAATTTTTAAGAACATAGTCATCAATGTTACAATTACGCATTTTTATCTTTATTATGCTGGGAGAAATCCTGCAAAGGCCAATCAAATATTAGATTCATTTCAATTGCCTCTGCTTACCTGGGCTGTGGCTTTCAAGGCCACAGTATCATATTCTTATTTGACTCTGCAGGTACCACAATATCACTGATACTGTGGTACCTGCAAAGTCAAGTAAAGATAGTTTCAGGACATGTCCACCACCAAAACAGGTATGTTGAGTATGTCTAACACAGATGACACAGAGAGAGCCAAAGGTTAGAGAAACAGAAACATATGAAGAAAAACTATAAATTTAGTTTGAATTAAGTGATAGAATAACTTCCTAGTATCTCTTTTGTAATTTTTTTTTTCTTTTTAAATAAGGGGACTTCATAATGGTAGTTAGAGATAAAAAGTTGTAAGGGAGATAAGGGGCTGACAAGTATTTCAGTGAGGCTAAAAGTTGATGTGTGAAAGAGGATAACGGGAAGTAAGTTTGGAAAGTAGATTAGGACTCTAAAGGACTCAAATATTAGACTAAGGAATTTGGAATATATTTGAAGGACAAGGGGTAGCTGAAGTGGCACAAACTGAGGTAACAGTCAATACAAAATCACCTACTGCTATTTTGTACAGATGGCATCTGAGAATGAAGATTGGAGGTGAGAAGACTTGCCTGCAATAGTCTAGACTAAAGGTTAGTGTGAGTGTAAGTATATTAACTCATTCAACTCAGGAAAATGTACTGGAGTAGAAAAAGCTCAGGCTTTAAAATCAGACTTGTCTGGTTTAACAGGTAAAGGTCTCTGAACCTCAGTTTCCTTACTAACAAATTAGGGCAAATGATATCTACATCATTCAGATGAGATAATAAATGAAACCCAATCACAATTCAAATGTATTGAACAATTATTATCTGCAATGATCTCTACAAGGCACTAATATGCTGAGTGGTACATACCATGTGGACTCTACTTAACAAAGGTAGAATCTAGTGGATCAGGTGGGCAAGTATTGGAATCAAATACCTCACTAGATAAGGGTCAAAGAAGAGGTTCTTTCTTGGACCTCTTTAATTAATTCACTAATTACCTAATCAATTAATTCACTAACATACTAGGCACTGGTGCAGGCACTGGGGATTTATATCAGTGAACAAAGTAAGAAAATGTCTGTCCTCATGGAGCTTATGTTCTAATGTAAACGCTAAAAGGATGCAGGAGGGGAAACAATTCAGTAAAAGTGAGATGTTTTAAAGAATAAACTTCTTTTGCTTATCTTTTAAAACTATTTTTAAGTTTAAAAAGAGACACTTGGATGCAATAAGAGCCAAATAATTTTCATGGAAATGGTAGGAGACAAATAACACTAATGTACTGAGAAATATGCTACTACTTTTCAATGAGGGAGAAATTTTCAGATTGTTTTTGTTTACTTATTTGATTGATCTTGTGCATTTGTACAAAATCAGTGTAGAATTTACCTATTCTATAAGGGAATGAACATACATTTATTATAATTGAAGGAGGCATAAGAATAGAAAAAGCAAAGGCCTATGCTACCAAAATCTAATCTAAAGTTCATGTTTTTTAATGTAATAAATTAAGACCTCTGCTATCATGTTTTCTATTCTAATAACTACAACACTTTTTTTTTTTTTCCAAATAGTCATCATATTTTCTTACCTGGTATTCCAGGATGTTTTGATGGCACTGAAATTTAAAAACAAATATATTATAAACGTACATTTCTTATTTTTCTTAATTCATAAAGAATAATTTATATTAGATTACAGTTTGGGAAGAGTTTCACAGTACCTTAGAGCTTTTTCAGTGCTCCAACAGAAAACATACAAATGCTATTTCAAGCCACATTGTATAGAAGCATTATTTTTGAGTCATTTTAATTTCAGCTTACCTACAATAAGTTCTGGTAGAATTCTAGTATGTGAGCCTAATAAAAGAAAAATTAAATGCATGTTTCCATTAAAGAACATGCTTGAATTTATTTATTTTTGGAATGGCATAAAATTTTTTTTTTTTGTTATTGTACTTGAGATGAAGGTTTGGAGAATAGTTTCTCATTAAACAGTCAGTACACATATTGTTTTATGACATTGGTTAACAACCC